TAAAGAACAGTGGGCCAAAATTCCTCCACAACGATGTGAGAGACTGATAAAGTCATACAGAAGAGGATTACTTCAAGTTATTGCTGCTAAAGGTGGTTCTACCAGCTGTTGAATCATAAGGTGTACTTAGTTTTCCATGCATGACTTCTCCATTTTGGCTTTCTTTTTGTAAAATAAATGATGACATGGTGTAATATGTCATGTGTTGTTGTTCATCTGAGGTTGCATTTACCTAATGCAGTTCTCTAAACTGCTAAGGACCAGATGATTTTTATTATTTCCTGATATGTAAAACCATAGAACTCAAAGGAGGTGTACTTTCTTTTTCACACAACTGTATATTATCAAGTATATTAAAACATTTTATTTCAAATTACCTTCAACTTCAGTATTAATACTTTGTGGTCGTCCCATGTCATCCACATGATGCTCTCTAAAAATTAAGAGATTGTGCAAAAACAATAATTAACTATACCAAATAAACTTTCAGTATGGTAACATTTCAGTGTTGAAATAATGGTATCTGGCACAATTCTTTGTTAACTCAATTATGCAATGAATCTTGTTTTACGGATAAAGTCTTAGTCTATGTAAATAATGAGAATAGGAAATAAGCACTTGTATAATATGTTATTTTAGAGAAATTATGCTCATTGATAAGATTTAGTAATTTGAAACTAAGATCTCATGCAATATTGTTGATCAAGAAATACTAAAGAAATCTTCATTTACAAAATCCATAAATTACTCTTTTATTTCCTGGTTCATAATAAGAACTAAAGAAAAAAACTACATGGACTAAGGAGAAGAGAGATTTTATCCACAGATTGGAAATTTTTTTTAAAATGTGAACGTTCATAAGAAAGATCTTCCAATTACCTAAATACAGCAAATATCAGAACAATATTAATAATTCCTAGAAGACTTCCAAATAAAACTGGTGCTGTGTACATGTTCAGCTGGAGATAAATAATTTTCCATGAGATTCCTTTTTCCCCAATAAGTGAAAAGAGAGTCTGAAAAACTAATAGAAAATATAACAGTTTATGCAATAAGACTTTAACAGCATGTATGCTTGATACTAATTACAGAAAAATTATAGAAATTTTATTGTGGCACCTAAAAAATCTAAAAAGTAAATGAACAACAGAAAAAAATCAATTAGTAAAGTGTTCCGATGATAAAGAAAAATCCCAAATAACAAACTATATATCATTATTCTTTTAGTAGTATGTATGAATTTTTATCCTTGACATACATTGCATCAGCTTTTGTTTATCACTAAACTGTCTGCAAAAAAACTAAAAGAAAATTGAAGTCTGAAATCAAATTGGGAGTACATCCTTTTCCTTAGAACTAAAGCCCTCTTTATAATAGTTCAGTATTATTACTATAATGTTTTTCATATAGCAGATTAAAATTTAAGTATGTACACACAGATTAAGAAATGGGAGTGACTATTTCCAATTAGAATACAATGTTTCTATCTACAACTGAATAATGAGTCACTTGAAGAGAATGAGAATACAGTGTAGGCTGTACCTGGTCCCAGTATGAATCCCACTGCTTGGCAAGCACTAGTGTTTGCCATAGCATTAGTTCTTTCAGTAAGAGAGGTAGAACCGGCAATATATGAGCGAACTACTGCTACATTTCCTAAAAGGAAAACAAGATGATGTTTACCTGGCACTCCTAAGGCACTTATGCATTTTTAATCATATGCATAAACTAGCTAAAAGCCCAATAATATAGTATGCACAATCTTGGTCTTTTGTCTGCTCACCAAATCTATCTTCAATATACCTCATAACTACAGAAATTAATAACTACAGAAATTAAATATGCTAAAGAATATTTGTCCTGAAAGCAATTATTCAGAACTATCAAACAGCTTGGGAGAAACTTGAAACTAATCAGCAGAAATTATTAACCATGCTTCTTTCATAGCATCACTCAGGTCTGAAATCTAATTAGAGTAAATTACCTTTGAGCAACTGCAGTAACTTCTTCACATTTTTATTCATACGAGGAAAATCTCTAAAACTAATATAACTAGTGCTTTTAGGGTGGTGTCACAATGAATCTTTATTACTCTGGTGAGTCTGTTACTCAAAACACTGCACTTTGGGGTAATCACTCAGTTTATCTAATCCTACAGAAAGCCATGGCACAAACACTACTAAATGGGATACCGGGAAAATATGTATCAACAGCATTATACATTTACTCAAGAAGTTCTGAAAGCCAACTTGAGGTAGAAGGGACATTCTGGGCATTTGTAAGATTTTGATTCCTCTAACAAATAGCTGAACTTCCTTAAATACATAGAGCTATTAATCTAGCAAACTTTAATTTAGATATTTCTAAAATTACCTGCACCAAACCCCACCAGTGCTCGAGCAGCTAGCATGTAGTATTTGTTGTGTGAAGGGGGCAAATGGACATAGGCATAGAGGAAGTTGGCAGCTACTGAAATAGCAGTTGAAACCACAAGAGGTTCTCTTCTTGGCCTGCAATTAGACCATGTTCCAAAGAATGGAGAAGCTATCATTTGACCAATGCTGTATGAAGCAATAATCCAGCCCAGAAAACCTGGATCTGCAGTTTTATCTATCTATGGAAAAAAATAAACACAATTTCAACAACAGCATTTTATTAATCAGTATGACACCCTAATAAAAAATATTCAATTCTATCAGATATTGTCAAGCTACTAAAACATGGGCAAATGTTTATGAAGATGAACGTTTTAATTAGAGAACACAGAATATACTAAAAATTGCAGACTATTAATTGGTGAGTAATAATTAAGCTTATTAATAACTGATGGAAGAACGCTGTTAAAATAGTATGGAAACAGATTTTAAAATTAGCCTATGAAGTACTACCCTGACACATTCTAATATCCACAAAAATAATATTTTTAGCAGTATCAATATAAGGAGATAAGAATATACATTCCAAATTGTAAATGAATGGTTACTGAATAATTTATATAATATTTAGTGGTTGGTACAGAGTGTGGAAAGAATCAATGGCAAAAGATATTTAGAAAGGTTGGTGTCATCTTTCTATTTTCCTCTTTATTAGCTAGATTTATAAACACCCTTTGCTTCAGAAGGTAAAGGTGGCAATCAAAATATCATCTCTGTGGGGTAGGTTAGGGTGAGGATATTCATTGGCTCAAAGTCATCCAATGAGCTTCCATAACTTACAGTGGACCTTAACCTTTTTTTTTTTTTTACAAAAATCAAATCAGAACCATAAATCACAAGATAAGACCCAGACAATAGTTGCAGTTCATCCTCCTCAATTAAAACCATTTCATTAGTAGGGGGGAAAACATGGAGGAATATAAGCACTTCCCTTCTTAGTATACTATTTATTTCATTTCTATACCACCCTTCCCAGCTCAGAGTAATTTAATTTTACATACATTAAAACAAAATAAATTAAGATTTACATAAAACATATTAAAACACTATCGTAAAAGTCAGACTGAAATAGGTCTTTGCAGAACTTCTGAAGGCCTCTAAAGATGGAATCCTGATATCAATAAGGGCTTTCTACAATCCAGGGGCAACAACTCATAAAGCTTCTTCTATGTTTCCACCAATAGATGAGCTTGCAGCACCTAAAATCTGATCCTTCCTTATGACCCTACTGGGTAGTGGTGCTCATGGAGAGAAAGACGTTCTCTTAGGTAGTCTGAACCCAAACTATTTAGGCATTTAAAGGTAATAGCTAACTAACTGAGTTAGCTGAGTTACTGAGTATTTAAGTACCTTAAAAAGTCTCTCTCTCTCTCTCTCGCTAGCATTGCAATAATCCAGTCTGGAGGTTTGTCAGCAATATAGCTACTCCCACCGTTGATGATCAAGAGTCAACAGTTTCTGGCTGACCAAGCCAAAACTTATAATCATTGGCTGCTCCAACCTTTCCTCTACAATATTTAAAATAGAAAACACAGCACTTATGGACACTGCAAACTACTGGATTGATTTTCACCCATGTTCCCCACAAAAATCCTAATGGTTAAATATAATGATATTTTGCATTTTAATTATTGTAAATAAACATCTTTTCATTTGGCTAAATGAACTTACAGAAATATCATCATATCATTATTTTTTTTTTTTTTTTTTTTTTTTTTTTTGGTGCCTTCGACTCAGTGTTGACTCCTGGCAACTGCCTGGATAAGTCCCTGCATTTTTCTTGGCAATGATTTTGGAAGTGGTTTGCCACTGCCTCCTTCCTAGGGCTGAGAGTGAGTGATGGCCCAAGGTCACTCAGCTGGCTTCGTGCCTAAGGCAGGACTAGAACTCAGTCTCCCAGTTTCTAGCCTGGCACCTTAATCACTACATCAAACTGGCTCACTATATAGTACAGTTTCCAGGTGCCTAAGTTAACATCATGTAAGTAAAAATTTAGGTGTTTAACAAACCTGTTGAAGATAGGGCCATATTGACATAATGACAATAGAGAAACCTGCAACACAGAGAACTGAAGTTTATTTTTCAATGAAGAGGAATTCAGTCAATGATAGGTGCATATGTGGAACTGCTGTACATGGAAGTATATTGCTGTGAAAAGTCTTTAACATAGTATATATGTTTAAAAGAGTCTCTTTTAATGAGACTCCAAAAAAGTCTTCATTATTTATCATCCATTATACAACATAATCCAGAAACTGGTCTGGTTTCCCAATCAGGTGGCAATGGTCAGGTCTTAGAAAAGTAGATGTACACTTAGAAGGTTCTTTGTACTGTTTCACCACAAACCACAGTATCAGGGAAAAGTCAGGGCAAATACACAAAGAAAGGATAGTTTATGAACGCTGACCACTTTTTTAAAAGTGAGGAAAATAATGGAATATCTTCCCCAACCAGATTCCAATACACGGAGAACTAGTCTACATGTTACAACAGATGCTCCACTGCATCACCTCCATACTATGGCCACAGGACATACTGGAAACAGAACCATGCTATTGATTCTGCTGATGACCACCTGCTTCAACTAGGCTTGATTCCACCTGGTCACTGTAATTTTAAGAACAAGTTCCTGAGTTTGCTTGTCGTGACAACTGTTTTTCCTTTGGTGTTAAATATTTTAATTTATAATGCTATAGTCCAGTATTATTTTGTTTTTACTGAATCCTACATAAATTACTCTGCGTATGTTTAACTTACAAATGAGCCAAGAATATTACATAAAGCAACAAACACAGTTTGCCATATAAGGAATTTCTATAAAATATTTTAATCAATAGCCAATGAAATAATGAAGATAAAGTAACAGAATAAAACAATGATGGCTGGTTAGCAAATTTTACAAACCAACACTGCTGAAGAACATTGTAAGGTACATTATTCGAATGGATCTCCATCGGCTGTTGTATTGTTGCAATGTCTCCACAGCATCCTTAGATCTGTAATAAACAATACTGTAATATTAATGAGATTAATATTAACATTTCAATTACTTGTTATTCTTTAATAAATTCTGTAAGGTAATTGGAAAAGTGTTAGGACAATCTGTTACTATATCTACATTTATTCCTATCTTGATATGATAGAAATCATTCTCTAATACATGTCATCATTTGTTGACAATTCCTTTACATTTTAGAATGGTCCAACTGGATAACTGCTATACAAATTATTACCGTATTTTTCCAACAATAAGACGACCCCGTGTGCAAGACGACTGTTTCCACCAATAGATGAG